TCGAATGCCGATCACATACTAGATGTTCGTTGACATGCTTTTTGGATTTTCACACCTACTTGAACTTCTCTTCCACCTCCTCTTCATCGTCGCCTTCGTCTCCTACTCTTCCTTCTCTTCCTCCGCCCTMTTTACCCTCGCATCCTTCCCCTACTTTTCTTTTTTGCTTCAACTTTTGACCTTCCATTGATTCGWTACTCATCAGGCATCCATCAGATGAACAAAATATGAGAAGACACATCAGCGAGCGATCCATGTCTACACAACAGCAGCGTGTACAGCCTTCTCAACCACAACGATCGACATCCATGTCTTCACAAGCAAGACACAAGACATAAAGATAATCATAGGTCATTAGACTTCTTACTTACATATCGTTCCCAAATTATCATTATTCATGGTGCTATGATAATACAGCATATCGCGAAACATTTTTTGCTTTCTAAGTGGCAGAACGYTAACGTTGCTTGTTTGCGCAATGATGATATGCAAAGCTAAAGTSGTAGTGCAAGTAACTGCGCTATTTGACTTATGGCCTAGTGGCTTTATTACGCGACAAGTTTCACGATTCTATTAATTTTGATTTCTAGGCGTTGACGGTAGTACTCGTGAGAAACGCTAGGATCTGTAACTTTCAGGGATTTTATTTTGTTGTTTTGTTTTTTGTTTTGTTTTTGTTTTGTTTTGTTTTTTGTTTTTGTTTTTTTGTTTTTTTGTGTGTGTTTTTTTTGTTTTTTGTTTTGTTTTGTTTTGTTTTGTTTTTTGGTTTTGTTCTCCTTCATTTCAATTTTGCGTTGGGAGTATTCGCGCTTTTCGAAAGACTCACAGCGGAAGGAGCCAGTCACTCAGGATACAGTATTAATCGAATCCACTCAGTATCCACGATCTTACCTTGTCATGGAATTCCTGGAGTTTGTTTGKCACCAACGCGCGCCGCGACCTCGTACATAACCATAAACACCTGTCACGTACTTACAGCCTGTCGGGTAACTCTTTTCTTAAGGTCTTCATGCAGCGCCTTTGTAGGACGGAACATGCGTGACTGGATTCTCTAGTGCGCTTACTAAAGTTTTCCTTCCACTATGTCATGTAGCTTGCGCACTTCAAATAAACGTCTGTTTTTGTTTCAGGATCGACATCGTGTAGAGTTGTACTTTATATGTTTACAAGACTAAAGAAGGAGATGACTGTTGATCCAACACACAGACACCTAGAATCTCTGTCATTAATCATCACCTTTTACTGTTACTAACAATAACCTCAAAGGAACTCGATCTTTTTGCGCATTTGATGCAGCCTTAGATATTTCTTAATAYCTTCGAATTACAGCACACTTCGTCGTGCTAAGAAAATGAAAAGTTCATATAATAGTTACATAGGGCACAGCGCTGTCGAAGCATAGATTACACCATTCGAACCTAGCTCTAGGAATGATTGTATTCAAATATGAATCAAATATTCTTAAATACCTTTATAAAGTGGTCGTAAATCTATCAACTTAGAAAAAGCTTTATTATACATCTGAAGAAAATTGTACGAATGATTTTGTAAGGACACAAATAGGAAATCTTATCTACTGATAACTTTGAATGTATGGTGTTTTTCGCGTTGTCGCAAACCAAGTACAGATGAGCTCTCCTTAGCTGGCTCTACCGGACGTTGAGGGTCAACCCCCCCTCCCCCCCTACCTTCCATCCTCCTTTCCCATCTTTCTCTTGGAAACGACTTCAAAAGTAATGCATGAATGGTCTGTAAGTAATCGCACCATGTAAGGATCTAATTTAGTTGGGATCATGGTAAAAGGATGTTTTAGATCCTTGAAAAAGATGCCAAAGTTGGGGCAAAATAATACAACGCGACGACGGTATCGCAAAGAAGGAAAGAATAAATCAGATATTCATTTGTCTCRCAATGGAAAGTCATTTGTAGAGGAACCGCGACGTCGATTGCACGTTTCGTCATCGCGGCCATGTTGGTGCAATTTAACAAACGATTTCTCATTAGCATTCGTTAACGGCACTACAGTGGCCGCCATCTTTTTAACTCTCTTCGGAATGCTTGCAATCCATCATCAATACTGTATAACGTTGCAGAAACCGGAAATGGGAATAATCATATAGAATTGYTTGTTCTCAGTAATACGAGAAAAAATGCAGTGCAAGTGGTTTCATATCGCTCTTTGTTGTAGCAGGCCATTACAGAAACCCGATATCATTTTGACTGAATTGAATTACGGAAAGCAGGGGCCGTAGCGAGGGCATTTTGGCAAGTACGCACGTGACAGGACAGCAAGCTCCTAAAAATTCCCAACATTTAGGTTGCCCCTAACAAAACATAAGTCTCAAAACTTTTTCGTTTCCCACTCAACTGAGAACCTTTTTTTTTTTTTTGTCTCGTCGAAGAAAAATAAAGCTATTGGGCTATTTTTAAGATATTCAAAGCACTTTATTTATTAGAGAAAGAGTAAATTTAGAACACTGGTGAAATTCTCAACCACGCACCTGCGTATATGCGTAAAGGACGCTACGCCCCCGGAAAGAATAAAAAAGGAAAAATCTTGAGAACTATCATTTTAAACCTTTTAGACTGTTTGGGCTGCCTGTAGACGGGTTGGCCTGGGTGCTAATCAATATTTATTATCAGAAAAATGGCGGCAGTTTTGAGGAGGTGTTTTGGTTCGCAACGAAGGAATGAACGTTTTTCTTCTTCAAATTTCATCTTTATTTTATTATACACACTGCATACGATGTCTTGGAGACTTTTCATTTCTAATGCTGTGTCAAAACTGTACAAAACAACTGAAAGAATTTTAAAAAGATGGTCTTTTTGATAGAGCTTCGTGGCTTCGTGGTGGCTTTGCTTCACGTACCTCAGTTCAGAGGTCGACAACTTCTTTCTGCTCAAGGTAAAAACTTAAAATATTGCTTTACAAAAAGTCAACATTTCATATTGAGCGCTATTTTGTGAAAGTATGTCACCCAGATTAAGTTAAATTATCGTTCATTTTGTNAAAAAAAAAAAAAAAGATAATAATAATAATAACCTGCATGAGCGGGGCTGATTTGCTCATTATAAATGCGAGGTCAATATATAATTATTCCCTTTGTAAATTCCCTTCCTAAACCACCTTCTGCATCAGAATCAAACATGTAACCAATCATATGCTTCATACAATTGCTTGGCATAGACTTCATGTATGACATTAAAGAAGAAATAGAAAACATGTGCATGTGTTGTGTGTATTTATAAAGCACACTACTGGGATTGGCAGCACACAAGAGAAGTTTTAGGACAAGTATGAGGCATAGCGGAGTGCTTCTCAACACTTCTCAAGTGTTCTGTTATTCCCCAAGTGCTTTATAACTACACACAGCACGTGCGCATGTTTTCTATTTCTTTAATAAAATACAAATTAGAGTAACTGTTATTTTGGACTGATAAATAACAAAATAGAAAGTGTGCATGCATGCTTTGTGCTCTCATAATACATGCACTCCCAACCAATCAGAATGCTTGATTCATAACAGGAATTTTATAAAGGTATTTATACCAGGTAGATGCATGTCAGATGAAGTAAGCATAGATGTCAGTACCATAGAACCTCTAYATGAACTTTAATTGTACCCTGAAAAAAATTACAGCAAAAGAACATTAATTTGATGAATAATTGTAACTGCCAGTGGCATAGTAGTAGTGCACTTATCTCCAACCTCTGGGGTTCAAGTTAATTGCTGGACTAGGCATCACGGTAGTTAGGTATCCCCCTTGATGAGAGGGTCTTTTCTCTGGGTTTACCAGCTTTTCTCTATCTACAAAATCTAACAAGCTAAATTCCAATTCAGTTGGTGAGTAAGCTATAATCTGACTTTGATCAACCTAGCCCTAAAGTTGCTTTAGGCTGTTGATGAAATTTGAAGGTTTTTTTAATTTGAAGTAGTGGCGTTAATGGTAAAATTTGATTGATTGATTGATTGATTGAAAACCTAATATCCTTCACAACCATCATAAGTGTCAGTCCTAGATCCTCCTGGGCCCTAACCTTGTTTTTTTTTATCTTTAAAGTCAAAAAAACCTTGGATTTTTTTTWAATAATTCCTTTAGCAAGCCTTATTTGATAGCTGTTTTGCTATGTGTAGTTCCAAAAATTATCCATACCCCCATCATGGAGGAATTTTTTAAGACACCCCCCTACCCCCTGGAAATTCCAATTTTCTTCCATACAAACTCTGTAATTKTTGTTCTTTCTCTGACCCCCCTACTCTTCAGAAATTCCAAATTCCTCTTTGGGGTGGGTATGGATGATTTCTGGAACTGCAAAATGGTCTTTTCCTGCATAGATCCCCTCTTTATYTCAAGTAATTATTTTTCATGAATAGGATAACAAGATAGGAAATTGAGTGATGAGGTCAAATATAATGTCTGTAACCTGTACTCAATTAAACCAAATGAAAAGTAATTGAAATTCATTGTAAATATAGAATCATATCAGAATGTACCTTGCCTAATACACATATAGTAACCTGATTTCTATGAGCCACACATTACTAACCATAATGATGAGGAAACCATTAACGCTCTTACTAATTAAAGTCTTATTGTTCTGCTGATTAAACACAAACTAAATACTAAACCAAAGGAAAAAAACCTCTTAGTTTTCCTAACCAATCAGAAATATAAATAAATAACCTTTCATTAAAATCGYGCAAAAAAAATCATCGGGTTTTTAATTATAAACTCGCAGCGCCAACATGGCCTGACTTCTTCCTTTTGCAGTTTTTTATTCTTTATTTTCTCTTGAAATATTTTTGACAACGACAACGGATAGGTAAATAAAGCACTGAATGGTTAAGCAGATGATTTAGGTGTCAACAACCATTCTTTAAAGTAAATTATGTAATTGTATTTTGTAATGTTTGTTTTTAATTTGTTTCTTAATTAGAACACTTTGTGTTTCGTCGTATTCACTGTCATTTCACTTAGATTTTGAATAAATTTGAATTTCTAAATTAAAAAAGTCTTTGGGAGGAAAAATAAATTTGATAAATTGATACCGGGGCGTTATGACATAGACATCGATTTAACTCCACTTTTGCCCTGAATCTATTTCTTGTCTAATTCTGGGAAAAAGTCGGTTATGATCAGAAGTTGCGATGTTTCCTGGGTTTTTTTGTTTTTTGTTTTTTGTTTTTGTTTTTTTTTTTCGTTTTTTGTTTTGTTTTGTTTTGTTTATCTGTTGAACACAGTAATTTTCCTCATTCACAGTTCTCTTTCATATCTTTTYTAATGGCGCAATCAAGCGTGTCATATTTTAAAATATATCTATACGTCAAATCTTCATATTTTGTATTTAGATAGGTTGTAAAGGCGTTCTGCTTACCACCGACGCCTTTCCCACCGTTAATTTACAATCTTATTGGTAACTAGTAATCTAGTAACTGTTAGGGAAGGTATACGTTTTTATTGGGAGAATGGGGGGGGGGGGGGGGAGCTTCAAAGGGAAGGGCCATCAGTAAAATATTAAATTTTTGGCGGGTCAAACGTCAAACATTTTTATTTTCACGAAAGCTTTTCTTTGTTGACTTTATAAGAGTGTCATGAATTTCTTAATGAATAAAAGGGATGTCTGTCTTAGAATAAATCCATTCTAGAGTTAAATTAAGAAAAAAGTCGATAACTAATCAAAAATCTTATGATTTCGAGTTCGTTGGTCGGAAAGAGTCGAACTTTTTGTATTCCATTGGGAAGACATTCCAGCATAGCGGGAATCGGCCTATTATTTTTTAAAAGTTTACTGTGAATCCCCCCCCCCCAAATTTACCTCCATCGCCTTAGGGACATCCATAAAATTTGAAAAAGGAATAACACTTGTCGCCTATAAACTAACGTGAAATATAACATACCGGTACATGGACTCTACAGCTTCTCTCAGAGGCGCCTTCACATGCTTTCAGTTCGATCCCCTTGGGCTGCGCCACTGCTGTACGTACGGTGGTGATAAGCGATGACAAATTATTTTTTATTTTGGATTTTTTGTCCCTATCTTCTTGGTGTCTGGCGCATGTCTAAGTCGCTTCTTTACCTTTTTTCCCCAGTAAAAAGATTCATTTTTTGGAGCATGGCTAGAGCGCGTGAGCCAACCAACTCGTGTTGGATGTGTGGTCACACGAGATTCATGGCAGGTAAACATTACTGTGAATCATCATAATCATTTGTTATGTTATGAATTGTGGATATTCTGCAAGCAGTCGATATTAATAGACCTGTGTTCCTTGATTAGACTCATTTGCACAGGGTTAGCCTCGAGTTTGTGCAGAATATTCACGTTTTCCAGTGAAGGTCCGTCGAGTTTCAAAGTGTAAATTGTTGAAGCTGTGAATTCTTTATTTTACCGTTGGTATTTGTAAATATTTAAACACTGATACGAGGCYAACCCCCTGTGTAAATGAGTCTGTAATCAAGGAACACAGCGTTAATTTGGAGTGAGTAAGTTCCACAGGGTTCCCGCGCACAACGCCCCTTTTTCACGTCCCGGAACGTGCAACCAGCAAGTTGAAAGCATAGAAAGATTTCAGCGCTCCCCTATGCGACCT